CTTATATTTTTCTTATATCTTTTTTTATATCTTTTTTTTTTTGGAGGAAGGAGGGGGATTAGGGGTGTGGGGGGGGGAATTCCTTTTCCTTTTCCCTCTTCCTTTTCCTCTTCCTGTTCGCTTTCTTCTTCCTCTTTTTTATTTCTTTTCTTTTCTTTTTCTTTTTCTTTTTCTTTCTTTCTTTCTTTTTTTTTTTTAAAAAAAAAGGGGGGATCAGGGATCGTCACGTGATATAGCCTTTGGAGAGGTTGGGGAGGGTTGGAGAAGATCTAATGAGAGAGAGAGATATGTGTGTGTGTGTGTGTGTGTGTGTGTGTGTGTGTGTGCGTAGATTCGAAAAGGGGGAAGGAGAAGAAAAGGGAGGAAGGAGAAAGACATTTCTTTTCACGGCAGCGGGGAGAGATTTTTTTTGGGAGGGGGGGGGTTTGGCGAGTGTGGGTTAGTGAGGGAGGTGAGGGGAAGTGAGATGAGGTAGGGTGGGGTGAGTGTGCCATTGATCGACTTGATTCGATTTGATCGATTCTGTGAATTCTATGAATTCTATGACTTTTCCCCAGAAGAAAGAACTGGAAGGGAAGGAAAGAAGGAAGGGAGGGAGGAAGGAAGGAAGAAAGGAAGAGGAAGTGGAAGTGGAAGTGGGAGTGGGTGATTTTGTTCTGTTTGATTGGATTCCGTGTGAAAGAGGGAGGGAGGTGGGATGGCATGGGATGGCATGGGAGGATGAATGGGTTTCTTTAGGTTGTTTGGTTTCTAAAAGGGTTTTTTGGAGGTGGAGGAGGGAGAAGGAAGGAAGGAAGGAGGGAAGGAAGGAGGGAAGGAAGGAAGGTCAGATGGAGATGATTCTCTGTCCTTTGTGAAGGGAAGTAAAGGGAAGTAGATCAGATTAGATTAAAGTCAAGTAAAGTAAAGCTTGGGATTTGAATCAGCTGGATGGGTGGGGGGGCAAGTAAATATACATATATATCTATATCTATATCTATATTTTTGGGAGTGAGTGATGACTGATTTATTAGATAGGATTGGGATGGGTTAAGGCAACACAGAGGCCGCTTTGAGTATGTGGATCTTCTAAGCGAGGTTTTTTTTATATATATACCTATTTAAAAAAAGCATATATATAAAAGTGGGACTTGACGTCGCAACTTTTATAATCTTACCTACTCACTCGTCTTAGAAGCGATGAACTGATTGTGAAAGCTTGATATTCTGATATCTAACGGTAGCGCCGATTCTTGAAATCAGTTTATAACGCGTTAGTCGCATCTATGTATTGTCTTTTTCGAGATGTAGATTGATTACTAATCTAGAGATTTGAAGTGTCGGAATTCTGGCCGTTCGAACTGAAAGGAGAATAAAATATACATATATATTCTCGAGCAATAATAATAGGAGAATTCAAGATGAGCCACCAGCTAAAGACTACGCTGATTTGTATTTTATTTCAATTTTCTCATTTCTACCTTTCGATTCGTTGTTTTTTGAGTTTACTCACGAATTAATAAATAAATAAACAAACCGGAATTTTCGCGATGCCTGGCGAGTTCTTTTCAAGCTGATTTTGGTGTGTACGACGGAAGACTTATCTTTTTTTTTTTTTTTTTTTTCGCCCACTTTAGGGAAGGGCCCCAAAAGTTGTGACGTCAAGTCTCACTATTATATGTAATTATTTTTTTTCTTTCTTTTTTGGGGGGCTTGACAAAAGAGCATGTTTATCTATATGAATCTTCTCGAAGCCAGCTAGCTAGCTAGCTAACTAGCTGCTACTCCCCGAGGCTCGAGGATGTCTTTGAGTTTGTTTGTTTGTTTGTTTGTTTGTTTGTTTGTTTGTTTGTTTGTTTGTTTGTTTGTTTGTTTGTTTGTTTGAATTGGGGGTGCGGTTGGTCGTAGGTTTGGGTAGCCATTTTTGTTGTTGTTGTTATTGTTGTTGTTGTTGACTTGACTGCTCGCTGGCGGGTCCGTACTGGTTGTAGATACGAATCCAACCTGCAGCTATATAGCCAGCTGCAGAAGGGAGGGAGGTCTTCAGCGCGATCTCCGGTGCTGTGGTGCTCGAGTTCAGGCGAGCGGGACTGGACTTTTCGTTGCTCACTCACGTCTTGGTGTCTTGGATCCGGGCGTCTATCTATCTATCCGCTTTCTGGCGAGCAGTTGGTGACTTGGCAGGGGGCCAGTCTTGAATCTAAACCGATCAACGTCCTTCCTTCATGTTTACTCCACCGGAATGGATCAAGATGGTGCTTCGATCAAGATGTAGACAACCAGTTTGTATCGTGCAGCAGTAGTTGATGTACCTAGCGGGATATTGAAAACGGCCTTCTTCTTACAGAAGCGTTCATCTCACACACTACTTGACTCTGGCAGTATTGTTTCTCATCCAGTCTGTAGAAAGAGCCACACGACCAAAGGCAAAGAGCCTGAAGCTTGCAGCCCCGCGAGAAAAGGCTGGTTAATTGGTAGGTGTATGCGGGATTTGTCTTTTTGTCTTGGCGAGTTCCATCCGACTTCTCGCTCCCAGAACCTAAGACCACCTCGTCGCTGGGGAGCACACGCAGTTCTCTCTCCTGTTTTTCTATGGCCAGTCGTGCTTGACCAGAGGAGGGAGAGGGGTTCAGAAAAGTCGACTTGCCATGAATCGTAGAGTGTTTATCTCTCTTCCACGTTAGTGGTGGAGGCCAGGACTCTTCGTCGCCTTTCCAGATATTACCGGTAGGTGGGGAATGTATGTCGACCCCCTAACTGAAGAGAAAATCTGTCTCGATCTACCAGGAGGAGAGATCGTGACTTGGGTATACGTAGCTTGAGTGCGACGCAGCTACTTGTAATCTTGTGTTCGGTAGGAGGCATGGGCGCTTGAAGTGTAGATTCTCTTGGGATCTCTGGACGGCTCGGATTGCGCTGAGAGTCGTCGCGGTCGGATCGCGGGATGATCTGGTAGGTTTGATTTGACTTTGACGGTTCTGGCGAAGTGAGGGAGTGCCTATCTATATAGTATTAGTTCTTGAGACGTAACCCTCGTCGGAGGCAGGCTCAAGGGTGTGGACTTTCTCATCGTTACCAAAAGCAAGACTGGATCTGAGTCTCCTATTTCGTTTCGAGAGAGGACTTACCGGAGATGGCAGAGGAGTTTTTTTTGACCGCGAGACGCTCGGTCTAATGTCCTCGAGCTCATGCGGCTGTGCGGATCTGGTGTATGCCGATAAAGACTATGACTTTCTGAAGATATGTGTATACACGAGCGCCTACATGTCATCCTCGAGAGTATGCACAACAGCCTGAAGCTCTATTCCAGACCGGCAGTAGCCCGGCCTCACGCGTGGTGAACGTAAACAAAGAGGGCCTCCCCGGCCCGAAAGAGTCCCGAGTCCCGGCCGGAAGGCGAACGTTCGCTAAAGATTTTACTGCCTACAATATATAAGCGGGGGACGGGACGGTCTACATCGCAAGGCGAAGAACTCAGACTTCTCTGCTCTTGGATTGGTCGGATCGTTCAGTTGGATGGGTTGACGCGCCTCGTCGCGGGCATCTGTTCGAGAGATCGGTTCTTAGCCAACTGCGGTGGGATGGGTTGACGCGTTAATCGTGGGCATCCGCAGAGTACAGCGGACGGTCACAGCAAGTTCTATTTTGTTCTTCTTTTTTTCTACTATTTGGAGATTTCTGCTTGTTTTTTTGGGGGCGTTGGTATTTTTTGGGATTTGTTTTTATTGTGTTGTTTGTTTACCAAGAGAATGTGGAAATTTAAGCGAGACAACCTGCACCCACCTACCACTTCGCCATATCTACCCAAGTATGTATAGTCGCAGGTTATGGGGAAGAAATACGCCTTTATAAGTCCAGTCCTGTATCTACTGCTATGGTGCTGAAGTATACTTCCTATCGTCAAATTGTGTACTGATTATGTGGAGGGGCGCATTGCCAATACTAGATGGACTCCTCACTCCTCCTCCCCCCACGAGCTTTTACGCAAGAATCCCCATCCAATTTTTTCAATGAATTAATTACGTCTATCTCAACTCTCTCCACAGGTAAACGCTAGCCCGAATAGAAACTGGCAATAACAAAATATCCCGAAGTTGATCTCGCGGTACAGCAAAGGCTCGTCGAGTGTTTGGGAGGAGTAAAGATCATGCCAGCGTTAAAGGAGTTGATCTTCGTTGCGGTGGCTCTCCCAACGCGTCGTAACTCTTAATTCTGTTCCAGATAGCTAGGGGGGGGGGGATGGTTGAGAAGGGGGGTAGCTTTGGATGGGAGATCCATTCGAGGTAAAAATAAATCGCGTATCGATTTTGGCGATTTTGGATGGATAAATTAGCACTTGGTGATTACTAGGATTAATCTCAGTAAAAGTCACACGCACTCCTTGAATCGAATGCTCCTTTGCAAAGGTGAGCTCGAAGCTCCAGGATCTTCGTCTGTTGAGAAATAGAAGAGAAAGTTGGGGCTCACCTTAAGTTGTGGAAAGCGAACTCGTTCAATTCACTAAGCCTCGAAATTCACCGAAAGCCTTGGTCAGGGTTTTCCGGCCGCAGCTTCAGAAGCGCTGAATCACGCGCAGAGCTGACTAGCGCCCTTTATCCCATATAAGAAAGTTTCTCTACTGACAGACGAACAATCTTCACCTTTACACTCTTTCATGATCAACCACATCACCCGAAGCTGCGACACTCTACGAATCCACAACATCGAACCAAATACCACTACACTAGACAATATGCCTCCCTCCCTCAACCTCGCAGCCACTCCTGCGGAGGATTTCCCCATGTTCTCCCGCCTCGCGCCCGAGCTCCGAGTCAAGATCCTTCGTCAAGCCGTCCTCGAAGAGAAGCCTCGAACAATATACCTGTTTCTGATGCCTGGAACTAGCCCAAAGAAACTCTGGAGAGCATACACCTCCTCGAATATTGCTCTGATGTCAGTCAGCCGTGAAGCTCGTTCGGAAGCCATCAATCTATACCAGCAGCCCTTCGGCATTTCAACGGTCCAAGGCCAGTCGACGGCAGAGCGTGGTCCGCTTCATGTGGATTTGGCAAAGGACTTGATCTACCTCAGCGCCCCAGAGAGAATGGAAGGTGATGACCCTATTGTCATCGCTGAAGTATTCGAGAGTGTGTTCGATACCACTTTCACTATCAAGGACTTCTCGATCAACTTGGCCCTCGACTTCTTTCTCGCATTCTTTCTCCACATCGAGGTTATTACCAACTTCCACGAGGATGGGCCGCTAATCGACCTGACGCCATGCAAAATGCACCTGCTCCGAGGGCTTACCATAGTCGCGGACACCCTCTCACTCAAGTACCGGAGCCGGAAGATGGTGATAGGCAACGCTCGGTCTGCCCGAAACGGAGTTGCGGTCTTTGCTGAAAACCTTGAAAAGCTCCTACAGCTGGCCACTCCAATGCTTTCTCAACCAGTGCTCCAGTCTGTGAATTATGCTATCAGAGTGCGAGTAAGTTGTCTGGCGAGCTTTTCTTCTTGCTTTTCACGCTCGTACTTCCCTGGTGCCCCCTTGCGCCCTGTCGACTCTGCATATGCTAACTCCCTTCGTTACGCAGGGTCCGGAGCCACGTTCGCGGCACCACATGATCACGAGACAAGGAGGCAGAGTTAAGGAGCTCTGAAGCTTGAAGAGATTGGGGTCTCGATCCGACACACCGCTATAGTCCTACTCGGTGGGGAGTGGGGGGCTATCGGGAGTCAATCATGATGGAATGGGGCCCGGCCGGGCATGGATACAAAAATCGGGGGTTTGTGAAGACAGTTTTCGGACGGAGCTAGGGCGTGAATTCTTGAAGCCAATCAAGAATACACGAGGGTTTCCACATCATGTTTGTTTGTCTCGCTCAGTGCCGCGGGAGGGGGGGCTCTTTTTATGGAGTAGCAGAACATATTCACAACCAAGAGCTTTCGCATTCTAGCAATCCACAAGTGCTACTTTCTTGAATGATGACTTGCGAATCATCTGCCTGCGAGTTATCAGTGTCACTAAGAGATCTACGACGGCTTACTTCGTCTTTCAGTTTCAAAGTAGTCACTTGAGCATGCATCCTCCGCCACTAACTTGGCGGACAATGCTGTTCAACCAGTACAATTTCTTGGGGATCCTCTGGGGAAGTTGCGTTCTCACTCAGAACAGGAAGTCGCGGCTCCGGACTTTGAGACCTTCTTACGCAACCCTCGTCTTCGGCTCGAGTTACGATTGATGATCAGGTGAGCCATTCAGACAAGGCTTGGTTTCAGGGTTGAGGTGTTGTAGCTCTTCTCATGGCAGCCTCCTCGCTTGAGACTTTCGTCACATCGACCTCCCCCCTCCCCTCTAGATGGCTCATTCATATTCACGCGGTATGCAGACGAAATGCGTTTTCAGGCCGAATAACCCATCTCGAGAACCTCTTCAACGGCGTGGTATTCTGGTCGAAAGCCATAGCCTCCGACAACATCGGCCTGCTATCCAGAAACAAAGAGGCCCAAAGGGGAAGGCGTTCCAGAAGCTCTGCATCCAGCTCATTCGACTGTACCCATGACCCCGGCCAAGAGAAGCCACTCCGTTCCAAATCTTCTGTAGAAATGTCATACCTCGCCGACAGGGAGGTCGGCCTCGAGATCTTCAAGAGGGTCCTCCGCGCTACGCCATCTCCGACAAAGAGACCGTTGGAGGAGGGATCCGTAAGCATGGAGGTCTTCGGAGATGTACGATTTCCAGCTTTGTAAGCACATGGCCGACAGCCAAAATGGGAGGATCTCTCGCCCTGGAAATACGTCAAGAGATGGGTTGTGGTTTCGGACAAGCACTCGAAGGTACAAAAATACGCGAGATGGGAGATTTGGGCCCGGACCACGGTGTGCTAGTGGAGCTCCCAAACCGGACGGACGGACGGGGAGGGCTTAGAGAGATTTGGAGCGCCTAAAGGTCAGGTTTCCAGAAGTCATCGTGCCGGTCGTCGAGCAAATGCGTCGCGCGTCATGGAAAAAAAATTGGCTTGTTGCACACTGCACGCAGCAATCTTTAAATGCCGCCACGGTTGTTTTTAATATTCATTCTCGCGTCTATTTCACTTATTCCACATCGCGTTATTCTATAGCTATCACGACCGCGACTATATCTTAGAAATCAATCAAGCGCGTTATTGAAAAAAGTAATTAGAGACCTTTATTCGAAGCCTAGGAACTTTACTTTTTTTTTTACACATTTGAGATATGTCTCCCATTGACGGTCCACAACTCGCACCTAGTTCAAGCCTATATACTTACTAAGGTCGGACCTAATTTAAGTCTATATATACTTAGTTAGTTTGTATCTAATCTAAGCTTAATTAAGGTACTCATTGAAAAGACGAAGAAGTCTAGTCTACTCGCGCAAGGGCCCCAAAAGTTGCAACGTCAAGGCCCACTATTATACCTAAAGCCCCCCAAAAAAAACAAAAAAAAAAAACAAAAACCTCTTTGCACGTCGCAGCAATCTCCAAATGCCGTCAAAATCAACTCTAACATTCATTACTGCAAAGTTCAAGAAGCGGTCGATCTCAAAGCATAACCCAAGCGTGAATACCTATGCGCCAGAATCAGAGCATCAAGCTCCCCTCTCAGCTTCTCAGCCAATCAAAGAAGTTGAAAGATAGGAAGGCGCCATCCATCCATCCATCCATCTATCAATCACCAGTCACTCACTCACTCACTTTATCTATCCTATATCCCGATTCCCGCCGCCTCCTGCCCCTCCCTCCGTCCTCAGACTTTGCACGCGGACTTAACGTGCTTTGGGATTTACTTTTCTCTTCCATCTCTTCTAGAGCTGGAAGATCGAATCTCTCTTTCCTTCTTTCAAAGTGTTGAGCTCTCACGTGTGACTGACGGCGTGAACTTGTAGATTTTTCATTATGTATGTACATGCAAAAAATGATCCATCTCGCCTAAAAAAACAAAACAAAACAAAGCAAGTCCCAGAGACCAGAGATGCAACGCTTGCTTGCTACCAACTTTTTTTTTTTCTGCCAAACGCCTTTCGTTATGCCCATATTTTCCTCTGAAACGCATTCCCCAGACCATCCCGTATAAAACCAGAAAATTGTGTCGCTTTTCATACTTCGTACTTCGTAACAATCGTCATGATCCGTCTAGATGGCGCGTATATATTATCGCTGACCAGCGCCCAAATTCCCCCCCCCCAACCCCAAAATAAAACATACGCATCAATATCTCACTCACTCACTCATCTCTGGTATATTTCGACTTCTGCCTCCAAACGCCGCCGTAACGCATGACCACGACCGGCAGCGGCACCATGACCACGCATACCGCAGCCAGCAACGTGAATGCGCCTCTCAGCCCCAGCGTGTCCGTCAGCACGGGGATGGTCAGCGGCAACAGGGTCCCCATCGTGCATCGCGTGAGCAGAACCATAGTCATCGCAGACGCGGAATACATTCCGAAGGCGTCGACGATGTAGGAAGATGAGGGGGCAGACATTACGATCAGGACGAAGCCGAAGAGACCGACGCTGAGGAGGAGGGCCCAGGCGGGCCAGCCGGAAGCAGGGACCCAGCCGTAGAGAAAGTTTACCAGGGGAAAGAGGGTGGCGGCAACAATCATGAGGGGGAGGCGGAACTCGGGGGTTGTGTTGGTGGTTGGTGGGGAGTCGGGATCTTTGAGATCTTCGGTATCTTTGGAGGAAGAGCGGATGGAGAGGGCAATGTAGATCCGGTCGAGGAAGAGGTTGCACACTAGTATGCCGCACATTGCTCCCACGCCTGAGAAGTGTTAACGTCAGCTCGCGACTGGGTATTGGGAAGAGGATCAAAGACTCACTAAAGAACATGAATGCAGATCCGGCCGCAGCATCCGAGAACCCGTACATGTCCCGCAGCATCCCCGGCAAAGTCGTGGCCATGATGTAGTAAAAGGTAAAAGTGAAGCCAGCGTAGAAGCTCATAATCTTCAACACGCTCGAGTCCCACATGACAAGTACCGGTCTCAACACGGCTGTCCTCAGCACCGCCCACCACAGTTCTTTCCGTCCGCTCTGGGCGTCAAAAGCGCATTTCAGACTCTGGTCTTTCTGCGATATTCGCAAGGCCGCGGCGCGCCGCCGGAGGATCTTTACCTTATAAGTCTCGCGCAGCAGAGTGAAGAACGCGATCTCGCAAAGGATGGCGCACGCAGCACACATCCACAGGATATTCCTCCAGCCCAGCGTCTCGGCCATGGCACCGCCAATCGCCGGACCAAAAGTGCCCCCGATCAACGGTGCGAGCATTACAAGACTCATCCCCGAGCCTCTTTGCTCGGAAGGGTAGATGTCGCCTATGATAGCGGGATTCAGCACATTGCTGGCTACAGCGAAGCCGGTCAGGAAGCGGGAGAAGATGAAGAGCTCGGTCGATTGCGAGAGGGCGCCGAGGATGACGCTGAGGATGAAGACGATGTTGGCGATGTTGAAGACGGGGTAGCGGCCGTAGATTTCGGAGAGGGGGGCCATTAGGAGGGGCCCGGCTGCTTCGCCCAGCTCCCAGACGGTGACGAGGAGGATGGAGGACGTCTTGTCGGTACGGCCCGAGAGATCGTGAACGATCTTGTCTGCTACCGGGACGACGCCGAGGCAGGTGAAGGAGCTGTGTTTGAGATCAGCAACTCAACTCGATTCTGGAATTGGCTGATGGTAGCTTACACCACAAAGGCCATGAGACCCAACAACGACACAATGCCAAGCTTATACTTCCTCGACCACTAGAGGCATCTCGTCAGTATGTAAAGGGAGGGTCATGTTTTCCTTGTCCTAATCGTCCTAACGAGCAAGCCAACAAAGGGGGTGAACTTACATCCATCGGGTTCTCTGCATCGCCCTGCGGATCGAACACGACCAGTTTCTGACCCGCCACCTCTCCAACCCCAACATGGCAATTCAGCTCCGTCTCACCGAGTGACTTTCTGTGAGCTTTCCTCCCACCCCTTTCCACGTTCGCAAGAAGTGGATGCCTCTCATCCATGTCCATGGTTTTGCCTGCTTGATTGCTTTCTTTTCTCCTGGTTTTTCTCTTCTCTTCACGCTGTAGAAATCTCCCCCTCTCTCCCTCGCACTCGCACTCGCACTCGCACTCAACCGACCGAGCGACCGACTAGCAGCTCTGAGTAACAGGAACTCCGACTCGAACACGATACTGACGTATAATACGGGTGGAGAGTGGGGTGGCAACAGCAGTAGCAACAGAAGCAGAGCAGAGGTGAGCTCCCGACCAGCACACAAATGCGAGCGAGATAGAACAGACAGAAGATCTTAATCCAGAGGCAGAAATGGGCGCGGGCGTGCCAGAGCGGACGCAAATACTCGTATATATAGAAGTATACAACTCACAGCCCGTCCGGGGATGGCCCCTACCTACATATACCTACCGTAGCACTAGCCCCCCTCCGAGTCCGAGTCCGCTTAAGCGGCAAAGGTTTCCTCTGCTCTCGTCCCCCTCTCCCTCTCTTTCTCGCTTTCCCGCTCTCTCCTCTTCTTATTAACATCGCTAACCTGTCCACCTCCAGCCAAGGGAAAAGAAAAAAAGAAAAAGAAAAACGACAAGGAGATGCCTTACCCATTCCACCTCTCTTTCCCTCTCCTCTCTCCTCTTGATACAGTAGAGAGAAAAAAAAGTATAAAAAAAAGAAGTCGAGATCCACACGGCGGCTAACCAAGGCTTATACTATATATCAGTGCTTCCTATACCGCCCCCCCCCTCCCCTCCTCGGCCAGCGAATTGACGAATTAGAAGCGCAGTATGAACGAGAGCAAACGACACCCCCGATACCGATACCGAAGGTCCCGATACCGATAAAGTAGCGAATTCCGCAACATACCCATCCCCATCTGATCTTCTTTTCCATTCCATTCTATACCTTTCCATGGTTGTCTTTGTCTTCTTTTGATCTATCCCATTTTTCCATCCCCTCTCCGGCAGCCCAGCCCCAATGCAGAGCAGAGCAGAGATAACAAGTAACGGAATAGAATCGAATAGAACGGAACGAAAACCTACTGTAGCTACCTACCTACCTACCTATACTCCGTAAAGCGGAGTGGACCCTCATCGCATCGCATCGCATCGTATCCCTACTCCCTACGTACAGTAGTGTGAGTTTAACAAGTTGAGTTTATGCGTGATGATGCTACCTACCGTACTGCTGCTGCGGTTGCAGCGTTAACGTTAATGCTTTACTCTCCCCCCCCGCCATGAATACAATCTCGAAAGTATAATCTTACCTACCAGGTCTTAAACCGACGAACTTACAGTACACTATACGTACAGTAAGGATTCATCCAGCCTGGAAAAGTATCTTTTTTTCAGCCAGTATCTACGGTAGTCGGTGCAACGGAAAATCACCGCTCTGCGATATATAGAGCTAAACTGCGTCCGACATTGATTCATGGGGGGGGGGAACCGGGGGGAAGGGGGCGCAGAAAGTAGAGAAAAAAAATAAAAAAATTAACGTGCAAACAAACAAACAAACCAAAAAAAAAGAAAAATTTTCAAAGAAAAAATATATTTGAGTTCAGATTTGCGCAAGGGTCTGAGTACCGAAGTGGATGCGATCCGGGTGTTCGGATCGAGATGGATACGTACGTACCGGTAGTACGTAGAGGAGTTGGTGGTGTTGGTGGTCCGTGGATGGGTGGATCTGCATCCTGCTGCCGGTAAAAAAAAAAAAAAAAAAAAGAAAAAAAGAAA